CTGCCACCCTCACACTACCTCCTTTAGGCCTTTTCATCAAAATTCTGCTTTGAACTGGAAACCAAAAATAAATTCCCTTGTGCCTTGCGTCTGGGTGGAATCGGCTGTTGGGGGAAGGGAACCATGTGAGTTGAAAGTCTGGCCATTGGGCCTGGCTGGGGCTCTGCAGCCGCCCTTTGCCTTCGTGGAGGTTTGGAGCCACGACTGCTCTGTGGGGGACGTGTGAGCCCTGCCCTTGGGGACCTTCCAGACAGCCCGGCTTAGTGCTGTGTGGGTGCAGGCAGAGGGAGCCCCTCCACCAGCCAGGTCTTGATAGCCCACAAATAGACATGCTCACTTCCTTGGAGAAGAGGTGGGACAGGTAGAAGAATGTCAGTGCTGGACAGGACCCCAGCTCTTTCTGCACTAGTCCTTTGTCTCTGGGGAAACTGAGGCCCAGCTATGGGGAGGGGCTTGGGATGGCTCACGGAAGGGTGTGGGCACTGGGGGCTCTGGCAGGGTTTTCCTGTGCTTCCCCCACCTCAGGTGTGGAAAGCTTCCCAGTGTGAAATGTGCGGGGATTTGAGGAGGGCTTTGTCCCTGGCGGGGTTGGAGTGGAGGGTGGCACTACAAAGAGAAAAATGAAGCAAAATAACCAAGTATGGTGTCCGCAGGCTTGTGACCTGGATTTTAGCAGCTGTTGAGACAGCTGGTCTCTGACTCTGTGTCCCCTGAGGGGGTGGGGGTGTTGGAGGAGATTACCTGAGGGTTGGCCTGGGCTGGGACAGCTGGGGAGGAAGACAGCTGAGAGGGCAGCTTCCTGCCTAGAATAGCCGTCCTGGGCCCCCCTTGACGTGGGAACCCTTCTCTGGCTAAACGAAGAGGAGAGGTAGAGACACTGATTCAGCTTGGTCCGCAAATGTTACGGAGCCCCTCTGCACAGGGACGTGCGCGCGCAGTGGATATGGGAAGGGAGCTGAGGGCTGCTGGGCATCTACCGGGCATGCTGGAGGGGAGCAGCGGTGAAGAGGGAGACCAGCGGGTGGACTCTTGCCTGGCTTCCCCTCTGGGGCAGTGTGTTAACTTGTTTCCTAACCTGTGAGGTAACAGTAGCGGCAGTGGTGGTTCGCTGTAGAAGTCTCACCTTCTCTGAGGGAGACCTCTCTTCCACTCACGGCTGGGGCACCCCATGCGCAGCCACCACCTGTCTGTCAGAGAAGGCTCCTGTGTTGCTGAACAGGTTTCAGCGGGGCTTCCAGACTATTACAGAGTAGGAAGAAATCTAGTGATCTACTTCTGAAAATCAGCCGATAAAAACCCTGTGGATCACAACAGTCCAACCCGTAAGCAATGTGGAGCAGTTTCCTACAATCATAGGGTTGGTGCAGGCGTGGGCAGCGTTTTGTCCTGTTGGACATGGGATAGCCATGAGTCGGGGCCCACTCAGCACCAGCCAACAACAACAACGAAGATAAGAAAATAATGTATAAAAGGTCCCCAGTGCATTGGGGGTGTTCAGTAGGCAGCATATGAATGGAAGCTGCTAATAAGTGTTGACACCTTATTGCGGTGACCAGACCCACAGGCCCTTGGGTCTGGCCACATCTGATGTGGCGCTCCTTCCCTCTGTGGCTGCTTTTCAAAGCAGTTCTTCCCAAGGAAGGGCCCACCTGACCTGCACATGGTGGTGGGAAGAGGCGTTGGGCCCCAGAGAGCCACCGTGGGCTGGGGGCTCCCAGTGGCCCTTACTGCATACGCCCCTGTAATGAAGATTCTAACACCTGGCCAGGGATGCAGCCACGCCCCTCCCTTGTTTCACAGAGGGGTAGAGTGACTTAGCCAGTGAGACGGCATCCGATCCAGCCTGGAAGTCCTCCCTCTGACTCCCGGCCTTTTATGTCATGGGTGGCAGTGGTTGCTGTCAAGTCGGTTCTGACTCGTGGTGACACTAGAACCGTGCCCTGGAGGGTTTTCAAGGCTGGGACCTTTCAGAAGCAGATTGCCAGGCCTTTCTTCCGAAGCACCTCTGGGTGGGTTCAAACCACCAACCTTTCAGCTAGTAGTTGAGCGCTCACTGTTTACACCACCCAGGGACTGTGGCCTTTCGTGGGTTTTGTTTTTTCTTACTCTCTCAGTCTGAGAATAAATCATTCTCATCAAAATAACAATCACTGACAATATTTCTTGTTTGCTTGCTGTGGGCTAGGTGCTGTTCTAAGCACATTAGCAGTATTACCTCAGATCTGCCCTACAGGAGTCCCTGGGTGGTGCAAACAGCTAACGCGCTTGGCTGCTAACTGAAAGGTTGGAGGCTTGAATCCACCAGAGGTGTCTCAGAAGAAAGGCCTGGTGATCTGAAAAATCAGCCATTGGAAACCCTATGGAGTATAGTTCTACTCTGACACACCTGGGGTCGCCATGAGTCAGAGTTGGCTTGATGACAATTGGTAAAAGAAGGCACAGATGAGGAAACAAGAGGCTTCAAGCAGTTAAATAACCTTCCCAGGTTCACACAGTGAGGAAGTGGTGGAGCTGGGAGGAGCTGGGGTTCACACACAGGCCTGCTGGACTCCAGACCCTGCCCCCGCCCCCACACACACACCCACCACTTCCCTGCGGCTGTGGCCTCGGAATATCGTTGGTGGAAGAGAAGACCCAACCCAGGGTCCTGCCCTCTAAACAAGAAACAGAAGGAGACATCTTTATGCAGGAAGGAGTAAAAGATGAGGTTGAAAAACCATCTGTATGAGACCACAAGGTCACAATTACTCTTTTAAGGCAAAAGATGAGAAGATAAGGGGGCAGGGAAACTAGAGTATTGGAAATGGAACAGCCAGAACAGAATTAAAGAGAATGTTGACACATTGTGAAACATGTAACTAATGTCACTGAACAATTTGTGTAGAAATTGTCAGATGGGAACCTCATTTGCTGTGTAAACCTTCATCAAAAACACCATAAAATATTATTTAAAAAAAGGATGAGGTTCCCTGCTCATAGGAAAGTCTAGGGGTTGGCTAGATCCTGGGAAATGGGTGCATTCAGAAGAGTCCAGGATTTGGGGTGACTGTGGTATGGGGCTTGGCATGGCAGGTGCTGATTAGTGCATGTTTGTTGGATGAACACAAGTGTCTCTGGACCAAGAGCCAGAGCCTTTGACCAGAGGTTGGCTCTGTGTCTGCTCTTTGGGGGTGTACGTAAACCATCTGATACCTCTGAGCCCCAGTTTCCTCATCTGTAAAATGGGAATAGCAATTCCCACTTCATTAGGTTAAATGTGAGGGTCAAATGAACTGTTGTATGTCAAGCTCTTAGCACAGAGCCTGTTAACAAGGTTGATCTTCCAGGAGCCCAGCTCCCAAGCTGGAGGCCACCCCTTCCCCTGAGTCAAGGCCCCACACTGACTGCCCAGGCCCCAGTGGACATATGCTTTGCCACCCTGCTGCCAGTGTCCCCAGAGCGAGCAGCTGCATGCTTCTGTCCTGTCTGTTGGATCCCTGTCTAGGAGTCGTGTGGCTTCCCGCCCCCTGAAAGTCTGTCCTTAAGGGCTAGCTCCCCAGCCCCGGAGGGCAGTGGCTGGATGTGACCCCTGGGAGGGCACCGAGCCAGGCCTGGGGCTCGGGGTTTCTTTCTTTTTTGTTATTGTTAATGAAAGTATATACAGCAAAACATACACCAGTTCAACAGTTCCTGCAGGTACAGTTCAGTGACATTGCTTACACTCTTTCAGTTGTGCAGCCATTCTCACCCTCCTTTTCCAAATTGTTCCTCTCCCATTAACATAAACTCACTGCCTTCTAAACTTCCTCTGGGCCGGGGTGTCTCATCCTTGTGTGAAGAAGTGCTGGTGGGAACGAGTGGCCCCCCAGACCCTGCCCGTGCTCAGGCAGGTCTGAAAGGATGGGGCCAGCATCCGGTCACTCCTGCCCCCATGGCTGTTGCAGGCCCATCAGCCTCTGGGATGGAGGAGGAGAGGGTAGACCTGTCTGCCTGAGGTTTGGTCTGGCAGGAAGGTGGGGCATCCTCAGACCTTGAATTGCTGGCCACGGGGCAGTCAAGGATAGTGGGGAATGGGTGGGAGAAACAAAGATCAGGCTCCTGGGCACCTACCTTCGCAGGAGGCACAGTGGGTTCAAGCCCTGCCTTTGTCACTTTGCTGAGTGACCTCGAGCAGTTTGCCACCATCCTCCTTCCTTCCTGATCATGGGCATGCTGGAGTCCAGGCTGGGAAGCGGCCCCTCCTTTCTGCTGTGTGACCTTGGGTAAGGCCCTTGCCTCTCTGGACCTCAGGGTCGTTCTTCCTACAAGGAAGGACCGGTTCATGCCAGAGAGCCAAGAATTCAGCCCCAGGCTGGCAAGGGTTATGTGCTTGCTTCTGCCTCCTGCTTCTACCTCCCTGGTTCTGGGTGGCCTTGAGGCTGTGGGCTTGGGGTGTAGAGGGAGGGCAGGGCTCTGAAGGAGGGGAGGGGAGGCTCAGGGGCAGAGTGGGAGGGTTTTCCTGGCTCCTTCCTCGCCACCCTCCCCCCCACCCCGCAGATGGCTGGGGCTGGGGCTTTGCCAGCTATCAGGTAGCAGGTTGGGAGCCTTTGGGGGGCCTGGGGCTGGCTGCAGGAGGAGGATGGAGCACAGAGACCACTCCCAGAAGGCCTAGGCTCCTCATGGGTGGTCTCAAGTTAACAGCCTGGGTGGGAGGAGGGCTTGGAATCTTCCAGAATGTGTTCCTCTCTGGCCTTTGATTTTGAGTGGCCTTGAGCAGTGGAAAGCCTTTGCCTCTGAGTCAGACCTTTCCTGAGCTTTTACTCCTTAGAACCTTCCAGAAGGGTTGTAAGAGTGGGGAGAGCCCCAGGGCCCACAGGAGGACAAGACCTGCCTAAGGCCACACTGCCAGCCATGTCTGCCTCAGTTTCCCCATCAGTTAACTACCACTGAACGCATCAGCTCTGACTCTGTGCTCCTGGGGGGCCGCTGAGGGTCCAGTTCCCACACCAACCCTAACCGCTGCCTCTCTCCTCACTCCACAGGCTCCCCGCTGCACAAGCAGGCGTCGGGCCCCTCCTCTGCGGCAGCCCCCCCAGCCCCTGAGAAGCCGGGCCCGAAGGCAGCTGAGGTGGGCGATGACTTTCTGGGGGACTTCGTGGTGGGTGAGCGGGTGTGGGTGAATGGCGTGAAGCCAGGCATGGTGCAGTACCTGGGCGAAACACAGTTCGCGCCTGGCCAGTGGGCGGGCGTGGTGCTGGACGACCCAGTGGGCAAGAATGATGGCTCCGTGGGCGGCGTGCGCTACTTCGAGTGCCCAGCGCTACAGGGCATCTTCACGCGGCCCTCCAAGCTGACCCGGCAGCCCACCGCCGATGGCTCGGGCAGCGACGCCCACTCGGTGGAGTCACTGACCGCGCAGAACCTGTCGCTGCATTCGGGCACAGCCACGCCCCCGCTGACCTGCCGTGTCATCCCTCTGCGGGAAAGCGTCCTCAACAGCTCTGTCAAGACAGGCAATGAATCGGGCTCCAACCTGTCAGACAGCGGCTCTGTGAAGCGGGGTGACAAGGACCTGCGCCTGGGAGACCGCGTGCTGGTGAGTGTGGCTGCGCTGAGCTCAGGCCCAGCCTCCCTTCCCCCACCTCTTCACAGCACATGGACAAGCTGGATCCTGGGGGCCAGGCTGGGGCAGGGGCAGTAGGACTTGGGCATTGTCCAAGCTGGGGACACACATTTCTCATCAGTAACCACACAGAGTGAAAGTGGGTTCTGGAGACTTTGCTGTGTGACCCTGGGCGAGTTTCTTAACCTTTCTGGGCCTCAGTCTTCCCATCTATCAAATGGGAATTTTAATAGTACTTCCCTCATAGGTTGAAGCTTTTCTGGTGGTGCAAACAATTAATGGGCTGGCTCGAGGTCACCCAGATGCACCTTGGAAGAAAGGCACGGCAGTCTACTTCCAAAAAATCAGCTATTGAAAACTCTGTGGAACACAGTTCTCTGACACACATCGGGTCACCATGAATCAGAATCAACTCCACAGCACCTGGCTCACGGGTTGAAATGAACTAATACATGTAATGCATTTAGACAGTGACTGATACTTAGTAAGTGCTAAGTGTTATCTGTTACTGATATTATTCATTGATCCAGCTTGCCAGCATGGATGTGCCGGGCCTGTACTGGAAAAGAGACCCCTGGCCCAGGGTGGGGCGTGCAGACACATATAAGCTATAATGGGGTGATCAGTGATACTGTGGAGGAGAGAACTGGGGATCCCTCTTTCCCAGTGGCCCCAAGTTATTCAGAATCTAGGTTCATCCTCTGCGGTCTGACCACGGTAGCATTTTCCTGGGCACCTGCCGTGGGCCAGACCCAGGCTGGAGGTGCCAGGGTGGGCAGGACGAGGTCATGTCCTGCTGTGCCATGCCTGGGGCAGGTGGCCAAGAAGGCCCCAGGCCGACCCTGCCCTCCAAGGACCACAGTGTTGGAGTGGAGACAGGGACATGGGGGGAGGTCCCTGGAGGGTGTCTGAGGGGCCTGGAGTGTGGAGAGCCAAGGGGATGACATCACTGGGTGGAGGGGGAGGTCCCTGCATCCAGGGGAAGCAGTGGGGGGATCCACCTCGAGCTGGGCTTATATAGGTGGGAAGCATATGCCTGGAGTTTTCAGGTTGGGTAGGGGTCTGGAGATCTCTCCCACAGAGGCAGGGTTTCTCCTGGAGGCTTCTGGGAAGAGCATTTGGGGTAGGGGAGGGAAAGGAAAGGTTTATACCTGTTACCCTGTTTAATCCGCAGGCCCACTCGGACGTAGTTTTATCATGCCCACTTTATGGATGGCTCAGAGAGGTCAAACCAGCCCCCATGCTGCCTTCCTTTCACTAAACTGTGTGAACTCTGAGCCCCACCTGGCAGGATGAGGACTTCACCCACCCTGGGGCTGGGTGCCAGCTTGGCTTCCCATGGGTGGAGTTTCCCCAACGGTGACCAGAGGGGACTTGGCTCGGGTGGTGATCCAGCCACCAGCCTTGGTCCCTGCCCTCAGAGAGCCTCCAGTCCTGTGTGGGGAGAGCTGTGATGTCCACGCGGCTGCAGACATGGACGTGTCCTTATATGTGGCATGTACCGTGAAGAAATGTGGTGCAGGCTCTGAGGGGATGTCGCAGTGCTCGATGCAGCCTGGCCCGAGAAGTGGTGTTGGGCTAAGATCGAGGAATGACCTGGCACTGACGGTGCAGGGAAGAGGCACTGCTCCAGGCAGAGACCACAGAGAAGAGCAGGGAGCTGAGCGGGCGGCGAAGAGGAGCTGGGGCCAGGGACCCTGAGGAGGCTGGCATGGGCAGGCCCCACGGTCCAGGGCCTGGGTGTGGAGTCGGGGTTTATTCCAAGAGTACGGGGAGCCGCAGAAGGTCTGAGTAGTGATATGAGCAGGTTCGCGTTCTGAATGTTTCTCGCTTGCTGCCTGGCGGGGGACAGGACCAGGTTGGGCAGGAGTAGAGCCAGGGAGGTGGGTGCCAGGAGGCTGCTGTGGCCGTGATATTGTGGGGACAGAGGATAGGCCCGTTGGGAGGCCATCACTTTGCTCTTCTTATCCTGGCTCCCAGGGAATCAGACTCCAGCCAACAGGACCTGGGCAAGCTGGCTTAGTCGCACTGAGCTGATGTTTGGGAAGCCTGGGTTCCAAGGGCATTTGCTGGGCGTGGCCACTGTAGGGAAACCGGGCCCAGGCCCTTCTCTGCTCCTTCCCGGCTGTGTGATGTTGGGCAAGTCACTTCACTGAGCCTCCTTCCCATCCATCTGTTCTTCATTCACTCGTCATCTGTCCATTCAGCAAATTGGCCATAGCCTACCACCCTCCTGATGCTTCCATGGAGAGGATTAAAAGAGCTAGTGGACGTGAAAATGTCCTGTGGTGTCCCAAGGACTGTGGCTGTGTGAGACCTGTGTTGTGTGACACCCTGGGGTGGGGATCTGTGACCACTGTAGGATGAGAAGTGGGGGCTCTGGAGGGTCACTGGCCAGCCCTGATTGGCCCCTGTTTGGGAGAGCAGGGAGGTTTGACCCTGGTTTGATCTTGCCTGGACCTCCCCATGCACCTCTTCCCCTAGGCAGTGGGAACTTCTGCCTGTCTCAGGATGTCCACTGGCCGGAAACTGGCCTTCAGGGTAGGGGCACTGAAGCTGGCACAAGGTGGGCACTGCCGGCTCTAGAAGCATCCACCAGGCCCTCATCCTGCAGCAAGGCCAGCTGAGGCGGCAAGGCCAGACAGACTCACTGACCCCCAGCCCGCTGGTGGGTCACCCTACTGCTTTCCTGGGGGCATGCCCCACACTGGGCACCATGCCCAGCACTTGCTGTGCCTTGTCTCTGTGTCCCTCCACTGCGTACAAGGTGTGTGTTACCCCCATTTTACTGAAGAGCACAGGGCTCAGCCCTGGGAAACAGTCTGCCCAGGGTCAAGCAAGGGGTTTGTGTGCACCTGGCCGTGCCCCAGCCTGGCACCTCCCCTGAGTGATTTCTCTAGCTGCCGGGATCTGACTGGCTGTCCAACCCTGAAACTTGGTGCTTCTCCCGTGTACCTGCTGTTGGCACCTTCTGACACACCACTTTCCTGTCCCCACCATGTCCTTTTAAAAATTATAGCCTGGGCAAGAATGGGTGTCAAGGCCTGAACTGACATTGTTCAGATGGGAGCTGTTTAGGAAAAGCAATGCCAAAAAAAAGCATACTTTTGCAAATTTTACAGATCACATGATCACATGAACGCACTGCCGGAGCCTCTCCCAGGGCCTTGGAGGAGGCCGGAGCAGGTGAGGGGCCCAAGTGCTCAAGCTCCGTTAGCTTCACCAGCCATCAACCTGTTCCCAAAACTACTCCAACCTGGTTAGAAGGCAGGAAGAAGGTTTATGTGATGAGCCTCTGGCTGCTCTTCAAAGATTCCTCTGAAACCTGGGCTTCGTTTGGGCTGCAGAATTACCCCATGAGGTCCACGTGCTAGCTGAGTAACCATGGCGAGTTATTGACCCTCTCTGTGTCTCAGTTTCTTCATCTGTGAAATGGGCACGGTAGTCCTCCTGCCTGCCGTGTAGAGTGGTTAGTTGGGGCTCTGAGTGAGCAAACGTTAGCTCTGGTCACCATCAACGTCAGGGAGGAATGTTCTCCTTGGCCCTGGGGTCACCAGGTGCACGATGGTCACCAAGCTCAGAGCTTCCCTGAGGTCAGTCATCCAGGGGGTCACGATGGCGTTAGTATCCTTGGGGTCCGTTGACTGAGTGCTTCCTGTGGGCCAAGCTCCATCCCAAGAACTTCATGAACAGAATCCTGTTTCCTCTTCACAGCAGCCCTAAGAGGCCTCGATCCCCCAGGAACCTCTGGGAGGGTGGGAGGGAGTTTGTCAGGACTGACCGACGACCTGCCTGGGTCTGGTGTGGGGCGGGGAGGTGAGAGGAGACCACTCTGCTTCACGTGTAGAGCGCTAAGAAGCTGTGTGGTCCTCAGCAAGTGCTGTAAGTGTTAGCCCAGCCTGGCCTGCTGAGTGAAGAACTCAGGGTCCCTGCCAGGCAGTTGGGAGACTGGGCGAGGCACCAGGTGTGCCGTGACGGCACTGCACAGGCTTGTTGAACTCTTAATGTCCCTCCCTGATGGTTGTTCAGGCCAGTGGACGTGTTCAGGGAGAATCACTGCAGGGGGCTGCTGCCTCGGCGCCCCCACCTCTCTGAAAGTGAGCACCGAGCCCAGGCCCTGCCCACCTGCCCTCGTTCCTGCCAGGGACCCCCTTCTGCCCCTCTCCACAGTTCCCCAGCCCCAGCAGGTGCCAGGTGCCAATCCAGGACATGAATCCCTCATTTACATTCAGGCAGCTCTGGGATAGGTATTATAAATGCATCATACAGATGGTGCTGAGGCTAGCGGCCCGGGACTCACCTGAAGCATCTTGATGACAGAGCTGGGTCTGCCTGCTGTGTGGAGGAGACCCTGCTCTGAGGCATAGGCATTTATTTAAGTGAGTTTTAACTTTCTCAGTGGAAAACCTCTGTGAAACAAATGGACCAAACCGAGTCTGAAGCTGTTGCTTTGTGAGACCCAGGATCTAGCTGGTGTTTGGCCGGGGCCAGGAGGGACTCAAGCCCCCACAGAAGAGAAGGGGTGGGTGTCATCACTCCGAGGGCATGGCCGGCACACAGCTGGCGGGGGGCCAGTGAGGGAAAACTCCTTGGGACCGCGGGGATGTGGGTCCCCAGAGGTTGTGCTGACCCAGGGTAGATAGCCGGTGCACTGAAGGACGGAGGGACAAGGAAAGGACTTGGGTCCAGAGTCAGGCTGAGGACTGAGGGTGAAGCAGTGCCCCCTGTGGCTGGTGAGTGGGTAGCAGTGCAGTTCTGAAGGGAGGGGACACCAGGAGAACGGAGCCTGGTAGGTAGTTGGGCACCACCGGGATCGAGGAGGCAGCAGGGTGTTGTAAGAAAAGGGAGAGCCTCCAGGCTCTTCTGCTCACTGACGACTCTGGGCCTCAGTCTCTTCATCTGTAGATGGGGGTAACGAGGCTCACCTCATAAAATTGTGAGGATTGGAACTGATATCTTTAATATCCCTGGCACGTAGCCAGTCCTTACAAAATAGCAGGAGTGGAACTAGCTTTAATTAGGGACTGGTCCCTTCAGGCACATCTGAATTATACTTGGGGGTATCAGGAGAAAGTAGCATTTAGAAAGTACTGTTCAGGTTCAGATGAACACAGTAGATAAAACATACACATTTATTTTCAGTCCCTCTTGAATCTGCACTGGAATGACAGTGAAGTTGGTTTTTTTTAAAGATAGTGACTCCCCAAGGACAGGGAATGGGAGGAGGGACGGCGGCCACAAGGCTGGAAGTCCACCAATGCCATGGCCAGAGCCGCAGCAGTGAAGAGGCCCTTAGGGTCACCTCAGAGACCGTAACGGTTCAGGAATTAGCCACAGAGCCACCTCTGGAAGTGGGGCTGGTGTCAGGGCCAGAAATGGGAGAATTGGTTGAAAAATCTCTAGCCCCCCGTCATCCCCTGCCCTGCCCCCTTCTATCTGGTGACAGCAGAGGTCTGGGACGGATGCTATTCTCCTGAGAGGGGCAGAGTCTGGATGAGGGATTCCAGGCAGGTCGGACTGAAGGAGGGGTCAGTGAGCACGTGTGTTCTGGAGGCTGAGCCCCTTCCTCCTCCCAGTTGCTGCCCCAAGCCTGTATTCTCCATGCTGGAGAGCACGAGAGCCTTCTAGGGTGTGCTGGGGTGGGGGCAGGGGTGACCACTGGTATGTACAAAATGCCGTTGGATGAGCATTCATTGATAGAGAGGTAAATACCAAAAGATTCAGCTTAAAGAATTAAGTGTTTGTTTCTGGGGCTAGGTGGAGAAACTTAAGAGGCTTTTTAAGGCATTGGAACTGTTTGACTCTTTAATCTCTGTACGTGTATGGCTTTGATTAAAAAATTAAGACAAACTAGTTCAAGGGTAACATTTATCGAGGCTCTACCGTGTGTCAGACACTGAACACATAGTATGTAATCCTCACAAAAACATTTTTTACACATGAGGAGGCTGAGGCTCAGAAAGCCTAGGGAGCCAGCCTGAGCTCACACAGCCAGGGTTTGAATGCATGTCTGTCTCCAAAGCCTGTGCTCTTCCGTGGGACAGCCCTGGGAGGCAGTGGTTGTACCCGTATTCCTCCCAGCTGTCCTCTGGGCCTCTCCAGTGCCATCTCTGCCCATGCCCACGGCAGCCTCTGGACCTGAGTCTCTGTGTGCCAACAGGTTGGTGGGACGAAGACTGGTGTGGTGCGGTATGTTGGGGAGACAGACTTCGCCAAGGGCGAGTGGTGTGGCGTGGAGCTGGACGAGCCCCTTGGGAAGAATGATGGGGCAGTAGCGGGCACCAGGTACGGCGGGCCTTCCCAGGGGGCGGGGAGGGGGGGTTCTAGCCTGGGTTGGGGATGGGGCATCTGAGGAAGCCAATATTGAGATTCAGGGTGATTGTGCCAGACACCCTGATATAGGTGCTTTCTCCCCTCTCTCACATAGCCTGCCAAGATAGGTGGTGGGATTATCACCTCATTTTATAGGTGAGAGAACAGAGGCCAGAGAGGTCATTGCCCGGGTTCACACAGAAAGTCACAGCAAGCTGTAGGAGAATCCATCCATCCTGAGTTCCCTTCTCCATGCCATGCATGGCTAAGCTGGGGGTGGGGGCACTGGGAAGGGAGAGGCAGTGGTCTCTGCCCTCTGGGGACTCGCCTGGATAACACGTGAAGTAACCACAGTGCCCTTGACAGTGCCCAGCGCTTTACGCCAAGGGCTTTCCTGGGGACTACAGGTGGGTTCCAAGTTTCATGCCATCTCTGATGAAAAGGTATTGGCTGCCTAGATTGCAGGGTTGAGAAGGGGCTTACGGCTGTGTCTGGGCTCAGGGGGCTGGGGGAATGATGTGGTCAGTGGGCAGCATCTGCCACGGGTGTGGAACTAAGGTGAGGTGGCCTGAGTGCTGTGTGGCTGTCCCCAGGCTCGATTCTGTGGCAGATACGGCTGTGGCAGCTCCAAGCGGTGGTCACTGCAGTACAGGCCGAGCGGTCGGGACGAGCCAGACTTGAACCAGGCCTTGGAGGAGAGTTGGATTCGCTTCTGGAAAAGTCTTGAGGAGGATGTGCTAGGCAGGGAGCAGACTGGAGGTGGGAGGAGGCAGGGATGGCGGCAGTTTCACGGTGCATCAGAAATGGAACAGGTCTATCTCCCTGTTCCTGCATGGAGCCCATGACCCCAGAGCTTTTTAGAGAAGAGAACCCGAAGTTTTTGTGACAGCTTTACATCTTCCGATTTTCACAGTGTTTCTCTCGACTCACTCTTGCTTTCAGAATTGAAGGCAGGTGGGCAGCCTCTCCCGGCCCCCAAGGTGTCCCTTTGGCTTTTGCTTCTCCATGCAGGGAGCTCCGTGCCCAGAAAGCTGGTGGGATCTCTTGGGTCTGGGGGTGGGCCAAGGACAGCTATGAGAGTGGGTGGCAGACATGGCTGGGGAGCCTCTGGACTACGTGTGGGAGCCAAGTGTAGTGGGCTTTAGAGCCCAGCATACTGGGGGAGCCCAGTCCCACCTTTGCTATTAGCCAGTTGTGTGACCCTAGGCAGGTTACTTAACCTTTCTGAGTCTAAATTTCCTCTTCTGTGAAATACAGGTAACAATAGAGTGGTTGGAGGATTGAAGTGAGCATTCATGTAAAGGGACTGGCACAGAGCAGGTGCTCAGTAATTGTTCTCTCCCCATCTCCCAAGAGTATTCCCCATGGCTGTTCATAGCCACTGACTTTCCAGGAGCACGGTCTACCAGTCTGGAGGATTTCCACCCTGCAGTGCGAGTGATGGAGTCCCAAGGCAGTTCCTGTCTGTCTTCTGGGCTCTGACTAAGTCGGGGAGGCAGGGAGACTCTAGGCTGTGGGCCGTGACAGCAGTGTGGGTTTCGCCCCCTTCCCCAGGTACTTCCAGTGCCCACCCAAGTTTGGTCTCTTCGCACCCATCCACAAGGTGATCCGCATCGGCTTCCCGTCTACCAGCCCAGCCAAAGCCAAGAAAACCAAGCGTATGGCCATGGGTGTCTCAGCGCTGACCCACAGTCCCAGCAGTTCCTCCATCAGCTCCGTCAGCTCTGTGGCCTCCTCCGTTGGGGGCCGGCCCAGCCGCAGTGGCCTGGTGAGGGCAGAGTGGGGTGGGGGTACCCTAGTATGTGCATGGGGATAGGGAAAGTGGGCTCCCCACTCTGCCTCTGACTTACTGTGGTTCCAGGCATCCCTCAGTTTAGGGGTTTTGAATAAAGACGTCAGCTCATATTTTTAATAGGGAAGATTGACCCATCTATGTTTATTGTTATTTTTGTATTTCTGGTTTGTTGTAGCCTAAGTCCTTCCCCGGGAGTTAAGAAGGGTCAGAAGGTCACATAAGGCAGGGCAGGGGGTTGGAAAGCCTGGCATAGTCGTGCTGGGTTAAGGTGAGGCTGCTCAGTAGGATGGGAGAGGGCCTTCTCTCCGAGCTTAATCTCGGGTGGGAAGTTCCTCCCGGCCCAGGAGAGGGAGAGTCGCAGGGGCCTCTGACTCTCCTGAGATGAGTTCACTAAATCTCGGATGTTTTGATTGCCCCCTGAGTAAGTAGGCAGGCCTCAGAGAGTCTAGGGCACGGGTCGGGGAGGAGCAGGACCCTGGGAGTCGAGACACTTGGGTCTCCCACCTGCTGGGTGGCTCTGGGGTAGGCTGGGCAGAGGCAGCTGAGCCCACAGTGCCCCAGACAAGCTATCCCTGAGTCCTGCCTGCACACACACCTTCCTGCAGCTCACGGAGACCTCTTCGCGCTATGCTCGCAAGATCTCGGGTACAACAGCCTTGCAAGAGGCGCTGAAGGAGAAGCAGCAGCACATCGAGCAGTTGCTGGCTGAACGGGACCTGGAGCGGGCTGAGGTGGCCAAGGCCACGAGCCACATCTGCGAGGTGGAGAAGGAGATCGCCTTGCTCAAGGCGCAGCACGAGCAGGTGGGTGGGCAGGCAGACAGCGGGTGCACTGAGGCACTAGCTGCCTTCTTGGGCCAGTCCTGTCTAGTCACACCCACACAGAGTCTCAGAGCAGAGAACTTGGGGTGTGTGGAGAAATACTAAATTACCAGCAGTGTCTCTGGGTGATGCAAAGGGTTAACGCACTTGGCTACTAACCGAGAGGTTGGAGGTTCGAGTCCACCCAGAGACGCCTTGGAAGAAAGGCGTGGTGATTTACTTTTGAAAAATCAGCCATTGAAGACCATGTGGAGCACAGTTCTACTCTGACACGTGTGGTCACCGTGAGTAGGAGTCAGTGGCAACTAGTTTTGTGCTTAAATTACCAATACCTGTCCTCCTCCTTTCCAGAGATAACCCTTAGTAACCTGGTGAATTTCCTTCCAGTCTTTTTTCTGTGTGTATGGATGGATATGTACACGTATTTTCAGAACCTGGATATGAACTTTTGTATCCTGCTTTTTCCTGCCTCGTATAATGTGAGCATTTCCTAGGTCGTGGAAAATCCTTCACCGTTTTAACAGCCACATGTCGTCCATCATGGAATGTGTCCTTACTGATGCTGCCAAGCCCCTGTTGTTTTTAGGTTGTTTCCAATTTTTCACTTTTTGTAAATAATAGTGCAGTAACATTTTTCATATACAGCTGTCCACATTTCAGAGTCCCTGGATGGTGCAAACAGTTAAGCCTAGGCTACTAACCAAAAGGTTGGCAGTTCAAATCCACCCGGAAGTGCCTTAAAAGAAAGTCCTGGTGATCTACTTCCAAAAAATTAGCCATTGGAAACCTTTTGGAGCACGGTTCTATCCTGACACGCATGGGGCCACCCTGAGTCGGAGTGGACTCAACAGCAGCTGGTTTGTTTTTTGAGTTTTTTCTGGTCCGCATTTCAGATCATGCTTTTGAGCAGATTCATGGGTTGGATTCCGGGAAGCAAACCTTGCCCCAGGCCTCCCGGATCTGCTGCTGTCACATGCCTGCTCTCTCCCCTGCTGTTTGTGTGCCTGCATAAAAGCCTCCTGGGTCTGTCCCCATTTGGGGCGCAGCTCACCCCTCTCTTGGGTGCCAGGATTAATCAAGCCAAGTTCCCATGTGTGCCTTGACAGTGGTCTTCCCAAGACCACAGGTAGATGGAGGTCTGGCAGGTACTGGGATGTTAGGCTTCGGGGGCAGGTGGGCCTGGGCGAGCCCTACCTTCTGCTGTCCTTGGCACTTGGCTAGGCTGGCAGGGGAGGAGGGGTGATTGGGCTTCCAGGCCCATCTCCTTGCACCGCCCTGGCCTCTCCTTGCCCTCCCCTGGCCACTAGGCCCCAGGAGGAGGCTGATCATGTACTGACCCTTGCTCGGGGCACAGTATGTTGCAGAAGCAGAGGAGAAGCTGCAGCGGGCACGGCTGCTGGTGGAGAGCGTGCGGAAGGAGAAGGTAGACCTGTCCAACCAGCTGGAGGAGGAGAGGAGGTATGTGCTGCCCTGGCCCAGGTGAAGGAGAGTACAGGCTCAAGAATAGGCAGACCCAGATTCAAACCCTGCCCCTACTGCTTGCTGGCTGTGTCAGCCTGGATAGTGACCTGAGGTTTGTGGGCCTCAGTCTTCTCCTTGTAAAGTGGGGGTGCTGCTTCCCATCTCTTCAGGCTGTTGGGAAGACATACAGGTAAAGCACCCCGCACAGCACTCACAGTTTTCCTTCTGACACTCACCGTACAGGGCTCACTGTTGTGCCCTGTCCAGCTTATACAGTGAACCGGGAGAGGAGTACCAGGGAGGGGCCCTCGCACTGTGAAGACCAGCACCCCACTTTCCCCTAAGTACCTGCCGCGTCAGGCCCTGTGAGGGGAGCTTTTGTGTTTGGCTCATCTGAACCTCGCAGCTCCTGTCCTGAAGCTTCCTGCCCATTTCACAGGTCAGGGAACTGAGGCTTAGAGAATCAGTCACGTCAGGTGTCAGACCCGGTGCTAAACGCTTTGCCTAGATTGGGTCTCTCAACCTGCTTAGCCCAGGAGGCTGGTGTGACTGCCCCCACGTCACGGGAGAAAACTGAGGTTCAGAGAAGGAGAGGGACTTGCCTGAGGCCACCAGCCAGCTAGTGGCTACCCTGGTTCTGCCCTGCCACGGTGGCGGGGAGGGGGGGTTGTGGTTCCATCTGTATGTTTTGGGGGCTGCTTCAGGGATGCAGGGAGAAGACTCCACCTACCCAGGTAAGCTTCTGGCCAAGAGGAGGAGCAGGTGGGATTTAGTGAAAGCTTAGAAACCCACTGAAGATGCAGGCATGACCCACTTCCCCACTGGCCCCCCAACCAAAGACAGCAGGTGCCCGTCTGGCCTGCTAGGTCCTGGCGTGATCTGGTGGGACACAGAGCAGAGAGCAGTCAGCATGGTGGAGGTTTCCCTTGGCCCAGGAGCTTCTCTCTCATCTCCTAGATGATGTACAGACTTCTGCATCTCCCTCCCCTCCACCATGCAGCAGGTCCCTCCCATCCTCAGCCCCCGACTTGAGTCTGTTGGGCTTTCAGCTGAGGCATGTGCTCCCAGGCTGTTGTTACTGTCTGACTCGGGGAGATGAGGGTTTATTTATATCTGCCTGAGACGGTCATTGGTGCCCACACTTCTGGTTCCCGTGGCAATGCACCTGATGCCAGCCAACAAAAACAGACCTTGAAGACAACGTGGGAGTTGCATTCGGGAAGGGCCTAGGTACATGTCCCAGCACTGCCCTGCACATGCTGTGTGACCTCAGGCAGGTTACTTGCCCTCTCTGAGCCTCAGTTTTCTCATCTGTATGCTGGGAGCTGTCAGGAAGCCCCGGCAAGAGCAGCTTTGTGAACTGTGATGTGCAGCGGGCCTGTGGCTCCCCCCATGGTCAGCAGCCCCAACCCTGTGTGGGCAAGTATGTCTCCCTGAGGGAGCCCCTTCATCAGGAGCAGCCAGGGAGTGGGGATTGGGACCCTGGCCCCGTCTTTTGGGGCCTGTGGATGAGAATGGGGTCAACAGAGGAGGAAGCACACCCTCTGTCCCTCCCTTCTCCCCTCCCACCCCAGATTATCACATGTGGCAACATCTGTTCCCTGCAATGATGAAGGCAGAGTCATCATTAACTTCACTGTGTTTCCATTTATAATATCGTTTATTCCCCACAGTCATCCTGGGGAGGACTGATGTTGTATTAAACACCCCATGTTAGAGAAGTGGTGGTCTCTGCACATAGAGTGCAGGGGGGACGTTGGAAGGTCTAGAAGTTTCCAGGAGGCTCTGCCCCCATCAGCCATAGGACTTTGGGCGAGTCCCTGCTCTACTGGACCTTCCCCTCTGCATGATCAGGAGCTTGGACTCTGGGCCTGGGATGGCCTTGCCTCTGTGCTGTTGTTGATGACTTGGTGAAGCCCATCGCTCTGGGTGAAGCCCTGTCAGCCCCCTCTTTCTCTCCCCTGCAGGAAGGTGGAGGACCTGCAGTTCCGAGTGGAGGAGGAGTCCATCACCAAGGGAGATCTGGAGGTAACAGTCAAAGCCCTTCCCCCTGGACTCACACAGTACTCCAGGCCCAGCCCATTTGCCATAGATTCCAGGCAGCAGTGCTGCAGTTTCTGGGAGGGGGACAAGGAGAAATGGGAAGGGTCAAAGGTCACACCCTGGGAGGAGGAGGGGGCAGGTCATAAGAGACTCAGGTGTCAGAAGTGAGATTGGTTCAGCCCCAGAGGGTCCATGGCTCCTTGTCAGTAGCTGGGTGGGGTGGATGGAGGGTAGCAAGGACACAGGGCTGGGCATGAGGACATAGGGGCTGGATTCTCTTACCCTTTCTTGTTGGAAAATAGCCGTAAAAGTGTCCCTTGGGCCATTAGTTTATCTTGGGTTCCTGGGAACATTTTGATTGGAAGTAGCTTTTTGAGTCACAGAATTTATGAACGGGGAAACTGAGGCCCAGAAAGGCAAAGGGACTCACCAAGCAGTAGGACTGGGACCAGGACCCAGGACTTCCAACCCCCGAGCTTAGCTCCTAGGGTGGCCAGTTGTCGGATCTACCTCCTCAGTTCTAACCCTGGACAAACTGGTCTGTGTGAGGTTGGACCTTTTCACTCCCAATGTAACCCACCCTTTCAGAGCTGAGGGACTGGGGATGCTCAGACCAATTACTCAAGCCCTTTAAAGACCTTGCCTCCAAGCCCTCCTAAGCACACCGTGCGGAGATCTCGGGGCCCATGAGGCTGCAGTTGGGTGGGCGGGATGTCTTCCTCTGTGACCCTGACTGCTTGCTCGGAGAGGACACTGGATGAAGGCTCCTGGGACCATCAGCAGGGGGACGGTGAATTCAGTCCCTCCTGCACTGTGATCCCGGCCCCCACTGGTCTTGGACAGCTTCTTTCCCTGCCTGGGCCTCAGTTTCCTTATCTGTAAAATGAGGAGGCTGAAACTAGAGCAGTGGTTCTCAAACTTCAGCATTCATAAACATCCCCTGAGGGGATTGTGAAAATACAGATCACTGGCCCCACCGTCAGAATCTGAGTCAGCAGATCTGGGTGGGGCCTGAGAATGTGTATTTCTAACACACTCCTGGGTGAGGCTGGTGGTCTGGGGACCACACTTTGGGGCTCACTGCACTAGGTTTCTGAGCTCAAATCAGAAAATAGATTTCTGACTTTGTGAAAGAGCTGTGTTAAGACCCCACAACTTCAGTGACCCACCAGCCAAAGGGTGCTTGTGGTTGTCCTGCCCTTGGATGACCCTGGCTGGGATGGGCACATGTGTGGCTACCTCGATCACTGCTGGCTTCTTTTGGAGCTGATTTTGCTGCCTGAGTGCTTCAAGAATGGATGTCAGGGCACAAGGTGGCGTAGGCGACTCAGCCAAAACTCTTTTCTTTCTTTTTTTAATTGTCCTTTAGATGAAAGTTTACAGAACAAACTAGCTTCTCATTGAACAGTTAGTATACATATTGTTTTCTGACATTGGTTAACAACCTCACGACATGTCAACACTCTCCCTTCTAGACCTTGGATTGCCTATTACAGCTTTCCTGTCCCCTCCTGCCTTCTAGTCCTTGCCCCTGGGCTGGTGTGCCCGTTTAGTCTCATTTTGTTTTATGGGTCTGTCTAATCTTTGGCTGAAGGGTGAACCTCAGGAGTGTCTTCAGTACCGAGTTAAAAGGGTGTCCAGGGGCCATACTCTCGAGGTTTCTCCAGTCTCTGTCAGGCCAGTAAGTCTGATCCTTTTTTGTCAGCCAACATCGTTTCTAACGTATATGTCCTAGCTGATACTGTTAAGTCGTTTGGTTCTGCTGGGTGGCTGCCCTCCTGCAGGGACTGGGCAGAGCTTCTGGGCAGTGCGCCTTCCACTAATGACAGTCACCAGGGCCTTTACTAAAAGGCTGCAGAGAAATCGCACAGCCCCCGGGGTAGACAGTTCAGGGAAATGGATCGAGAAACAGCATCAGTAGCCAAGCTCATTCTCTTCCTTGCTTAATGTGTTGCTTCCTAACCAATGTGTTGGTTGGCAGCCGAGCGCTTAACCACTGCACCACTAGGTCTCTTGCTCTTGGCACATCCTACCCCTTTTCCTGGCCACCCACCCACCTTGTACCTGGCCCCACCTGGGCTCTAGGCACGCCTGGGCTCTATCCCCCACCATCTACCAGTTGTTCTCTTAAGAGAATCTGATTGGTCCCAGACTAGCCAATGGGCAGGCTGGCTTTGGATCAGGTGTCCATCCCTGATCCAGTGGCTGTGGCTGGGAGAGTTAGGGGGTGGGACAGCTACAGACACAGCTAATTCAGGCAGAAGGGCACTCTAGTCCTTTGTTACTATTTTTATTGTACAAAACCAATTGTGACCATATTCATGGCAAACAGAAGCAAATTGACCACAAGTCACCCTCATCCCTACTTGCCTTAAGTAAAAAATAAAAGCCAGAACACCTCCTTGACCTGGTTCCCTCCAGCTGTCACCTCATCTCTCCACTTGTCCTCACAGCAAAACGTCTCAAGAGTTGCTTACGCTGACGGTTTCTCCTCTCCGCGCACCTCCAGCTGGGTTAGGCGCTCCATTCCAACTTCTCAGCCTCCTTTTGTCCTCTCCGTCCTGACATCCGAGTGTTGGCCTGTCCAAGGGCCCAATTCCAGCCCCGTTTGCCTCCTGGTCTCCACTGTCCCTGGGGAACAGCTTTCAGCTTGTGGCTGGAAACGCGTTTATCATCCCCTGGTCCCCGAGTACTTCCCTCCGGGCACCGTCTTCCCCTGTGCTCCATGCTGGCATGTCTTGCTGCCACCTTGACGTCTCCAGCTGGGTGAGTAGTAGGCGTCCCCAGAGGAGCGTGTCCAGCAGGTCTTCCCACCAGCCCTGACTCCCTGCCTGGGGCAGTGGTGGCTCAGTGGTAGAATTCTCACCTTGCGTGCAGGAGACCGGGTTTGATCTCGGCCGGTGCACCTCATGTGCAGCCACCACCCATCTGTCAGGCGAGGCTTGCGTGTTACTCTGATGCTGAACAAATTTCAGCAGAGCTTCCAGACTAAGACTAGGAGTAAAAGCCTGGTGGTCTATTTCCGAAAACTAGCCAGTGAAAACCCTATGGATCACAACAGTCCAAACCCGTTTTACGTGGGGTTACCAGGAGTCAGGGGCTGACTCGATGAAGCTAATAGCAACAACTCCCAGCCTCCTCACCTAAAATCTGGATAGTAGGGGCTGTTCTTCTCTTGCACTGTAGGTTCAGTTCCTGGCCAGCGCAGCTCATGCACGGCCACCACCCGTCAGGGGAGGCCTGCGTGTGTCGCTGTGATGCTCCCCACCCTGTCTTTCCCGTTAGTAATGGACCCCGCCACCCACACAGCTGCTCGGCCCACAGCTAGAATTCATGTCTTAGATCTTCTCTTTCCCTTGTCCTCATCCCAAATCCCCTTGACCTTGCGTTCAAAAGCTACTCCCTCTGGTGGTCCTCATCCCACAGCATCTCTCCTTGGGCGATGGTACCAGCCTCTCCCTGGCCCCTCCTTTCCTCTCTTGTTCCTCTGCTATCCAGTCTCCACACTGAAACCAGAAGTCTTAATTTTTTTTTTCTAAATTTTGGAAGTTTTTTAACCTATACAGAAGTAGAGGGAACACACTAGAAAAAAATCCAATCTCTGGCAAGTGGCCCAGAGAAGACCCTCATGACCAGCCCCTCCTCCTCTCCAGCCCTGTCTCCCACCCTGCCCCTTGTTTATCCTGCTGCAGGCGTGTTGTGGTGCTCCTCTGTTTCTGTAACACTCCAAGCTCTGCTCTGCTTCTCAGCTGTTGGACCTGCAGGTTTTTGTGCTGGAATCACTCATCTCTTCCCCCAGCCCGTTTTGTACAGCTGGTTCCTCCTTGTGTTCAGATCTCTGTTTAAATTTTATTTCTCAAAGAGGCCTTCGCTGGTTCCTCTGTTTCACCTCCCACCTAGCTACTCTCTACACTAGCACTCTGTTGATACACCAGATCGCAATCTGAAATTATCCTATTCGTTTATTGATCATGCCCCTCACCAGAATATAAGCCCTTTGAGGGTGAGGGACCCTGACTGTCTTCTTCATGTTGATATCCCCAGTGCCAAAACAGGGCAGGGGTGCACGGTAAGGTGCTTTTCTTGGGACGCTGACTAGGAACATGTTTTATGGTTCTTAAATGGCTGATGCCATTTTGCATCACAGAAAGATCTGTGCTGCTCTCTGCTGCCGCCTGGTGGTAACTGGGACATCAGCACCTGCCTTGGACTTGACAGCATGGGGCTTTTGTTGTTTTTTAATCATCAGGGATTTTTGTTGATTAAATAGTACCACCTTGCTAGTTTTTCATTTGCATAGGAATACCTATTTTAACAGACAGAACCAGTTTATGAACCCAGAATCAGCTGTTTGTTGAGAACTCACTGGGCATTGCCAAGGACTGAAGGGCAGTTTAGAGAAGTGGCTTATGTATTTGGGGAGCCCCTTATGTATTTGGGGAGCCCCTGGGTGGTGCAGACAGTTAACTCACTCAGCTGCTAGCTGGAAGGTCGGAAGCTCAAGTCCATCCAGAGGCTCCTTGGGAGAAGGACCTGGTGATCTACTTCCAAAAAATAAGCCACTGAAAACCCTATGGAGCACAATCCTACTCTGACATAGGTGGGGTTGCCATGAGTCGGAATCGACTGGACAGCATCCGGCACTATGGGTTTGTCTCCTGGCCAATGCACCTCCTGCCCCAATTAGTTAACAGCAAAGCCCTGATCTGAGAGGTGTCCCAAGGCTGTGGCTCCACCTTTACAAGTGGAGTAGACTCCTGTGGGTGAGGGGGGAGAGAGCTACAGGTCAGGGGCATAGGCGGGGCTGAGGGAGCGCTGTGGGATCCCAGTCAGGGCAGGGAGATGAGGAGTGCCCACCGCGTCAGGAATCTGAAGGTGGTCCGGGGGAAGAGCTCCAGCCTGCAACCTGGAGGCTGAGTTTTAGGCCTCGCTCTGCCCCGAAGTTGCTGGGTGATTTCTGAGTTCCAGGCTTTCCCTCTCTGGGGTGGTCCCTCTCTCCTGTGAGGTGGGAGACAGTGGAGACACCCCCTATGAGGAGGCTGTTTTCTAAAGTCAGTGCAAGAGACATAATCACGTCAACCCTTAGACTGCCCGGGTGCCTTGTCTGTGATTTTGTGAACGTTAGCTTCTGGGACCTGAGAGTGACTGAACAGGAGCATGGAGGGCCCCGCTCCTCACGCCCCTTGTCTTAGTTCTCTAGTGCTGCTATAACAGAGATACCACACGTAGGTGGCTCTAACAAACAGAGACTTACCTTCTCACAGTTTAGGAGACTGAAAGTTCAAATTCAGGGTTCCAGCTCTAGGGGAAGGCTTCTTTCTCTGTCAGCTCTAGAGAAAGGTCCTGTCTTTTTTGAGCTTCTACTCCCGGGCGATCTTCATGTGGCTTGGCATGTTTCTTCCCCATCTCTGCTGCTCACTTGCTTATTTAATCTCTTTTATATATCTCAAACGAGATTGACTTAACACACACTTGACGCTTCACGAACACAACAAAGAAAACCCATTTCCAAGTGGGATTACAACCACATGTGTACGGGTTAGAATTTGCAATGCATATTTTTGGGGGACACAGTTCAGTCCGTAACAGCCCTTGAGCGGAATGGAAGGCCGAATCATCCATCCTACCTAAAATCTAGCCTTTTAGGGGCTGTTTTTTCCCGCAACACTATGGCTTAGATTCCCAGTCAGTGTATCTCATGCACAGCCACCGCTCATCTGTCAGTGGAGGCTTGCATGTTGCTGCGATGCTTAACAGGTTTCAGTGGAGCTTCCAAAGTCAGACGGATTAGAAAGAAAGGCCTGGTGATTTACTCTGAAAATCAGCCAGTGGAAACCCTATGGATCACAAAGGTCCAGCCCTGTTGTGCATGGGGTGGCCATGAGTCAGGGGTGACTCAGCAGCGGCTAACACCGGCAGGTAAGCACCTGAAGCAACTGCACTAGTCGCCCGTGTGCTCACAGAGACCCCAGCCCACAGACCTACCAGTAGCCAGGAGGCTGGAAGTTCTGAAAGTGATAGGGAGGTGCCCTTGCTTGACCCCTGACTTTGGGGGTATCAAATGAACTTGCCTTTGAGATTATGAAGCTGGAGGTCTTCCTGCCCACGAGGCCATCACAGTGGTACTTACGATCACACTCCCTGCGGGGAGGGCTCTGGGCAGAGCTGCTGTGCCCACCACCTGGGAGGCAGTGTTTAGGGGGAAGGGGCCGTGGGCCCTGTGTGTGTGGGATAGAGGCACATATTTCATCAGTCTGGAATTTTCTGGAAGAGACCAAATGTGACTGCTTATTAGCACTGAAGCATGCTGCCCTCTTGAGAGAGAGTGCCTTTTTTGTTGTTCTTTAAGAAAATTTGCAGAAATAAGCTCAGAGGCCAAAGGGCATACACATCTCTGTAGTTCTTTATGTATTATCAGAGTATTTCTCAAACAGACGGGATGGGCTTGTAACGTCAGCACTGGCCAAGTTTACTAACGTCACCTCACCTTGCCAGCGTCGGTTTTTATTGGTGTTTTTGCACATATATGCTGTTTTACTAAGCCTGCCTCCTCTCAGAACTGCCCTAGAAATGTGCTGTGGCCTTGCTTCTCCTGGACAGTCACGGGGTAGCAAGAGGATGAGGCCCTCTCTCACTCCTCCCTATGAACATAGTCTCCTACACCCCGGGTACCCAGCGCGGCCCTCACTGCTGCTCTCTGGGGGTCTGTTGTGGGAAATCCAGCAGCCCGTCTGAGAATGCTCGGCTTTGTCAGTGTATGCAGTGGGTATTGTGATGCTGGGACAAAAGTGCTTTTGTGCTTTCTGGGGACCCGGGGGTGGGCACCAGTGAGGCTGGGCTGTGACAGGTCTGCAGGAGGCACAGCCTGGCCACCACCAAAGAGGCCGAGCCGGGTGGTGGGGACATGTCCTGGTCTAAGGACTCAGTATGGTGGGGGTATACTTTTGAAACCCCTTACACTTGGTTCTTCTGCCCTTGGCACTGGGAACCCTGAGGTAATTTATTCATAATCAAAAGATTCCTGAGGCTTCCTGTGTGCTGGGGCCTAGGCTTCAAATGAGGAACAGCGGCAGGCCCTACATGGGGAAGGGGAAAAGTTGTGGGCCCTTCCCAGGGAGCCAGCAGTGGGAGCTGCAAGGGAGGGGCTGCCTGGGTGTGACAGAGGGGAATGGGGTGCCCACTGCCACCCTCCTCTGCCCTTAAATAAGCCCAGCCAGGATGCAGTGAGGGGAGGGCTTCAGGCCCCACCCGCCGCCTCCCAGACCCCTTTCTCTCCCTGAGCCAATTCGATTCTTTTCTCGTTGACCTGCTGTCCTTGTCTTATTCACGAAGATGACGCCTCCTCTCTCTTTCTCTCTCTCTTTCTCTTTATGGCTTCCTCTCCCCTATGCCCTCTCCCCCTCGCCACCCCACCCCACCCTGGGTGGACCAGACCCAGACGCAGCTGGAGCACGCACGCATTGGGGAGCTGGAGCAGAGCCTGCTACTGGAGAAGGCGCAGGCCGAGCGGCTACTCAGGGAGTTAGCAGACAACAGGGTAACGCCGCTGCCACCCGGCCGCCGCTGCCCTTGGTGCCTCCTTCCGCTTCCCGGTTTTATTACGTATTTTCTGTCTTTGGCAGTGATCCTCGTTGTTTTTCTTTTGCACCCCCTCCTAGTAGGGAAGGCAAGATTTAGCAACGTGCTTCTTCTGCATTGGCCAGTGATGCTCAGTGGTAGGGAGAGGTCTTTGTTCTCGGGGGCTGTGCTCCCCAACCCATGGGCCCACTGGCTGAGAGTGTCCTGTGAGACCCTCATCATGCATTGCCATGACAAGGCTTTGTCATGGTCAGAAATTAGGAGCCTCTTGGGAGTGTATTGTCCCTTATGTAGGTAGGCACAGAGTCAGCAGGCCCCTCCCTCAGTTCAGGCAGCTGGGGAAGGACATGAGGCCGGGGGACAGTGGGTCCAGGTGCCTCTAGCCCAGGCGTCTCAAATGTGGGTGGCAAGAGGGGCCAGCCTGAAGGACTTGGGGCTAGGGAGGTGTGGGGGGGTGTCCCCAGGAGCTAGGACTGCATCAGCCCCAGGGTCTGGCTATTGTGGTGCAGTGGGCCCCAGGCCAGGGAAAGCTCTGCGTGTTCAAGTCCATGCTCTACGCCACCAAGCACGCCTTGGACCCCAGTGCCCTGTGCAGGCCAGCACGCTCAGACAGCTGGCCAGCCCAGCCGAGCTTAATCCTGGCCACATAGCCCAGCAGTCAGCCCAGCTGAACTTAATCCTGGCCACATATCCTAGTGGCCAGCGAGCAGTGGTTTGAGAAAACCAGTTTTACCCCACGTGGGAATGTGGAGGGAGCCATGGTCAGTTTCTGCACGTTGGCCCCAGCACCCGAGTACACGTGTGTGCGTATGGGTGCTCGGGAAACATGGGGTTCCATCTGCACAAACTGGCCAGCGCCTAGTGACTGCGCATGCTTGGGCAGTGCACGTGTGTGCGCAAAGGTCTCTGTGCAGAAACTGACTGTCCCGCTGACAGCAGAGCCCTCCAAACACAGACGTCGCCTGACTAAAGCAACAAAAACGCTTTATTGAAGAACAATGTCAGAAGCATTTTTTTAAGTTTGTAAAAAATTTTAAATGTTTAAATATGCTGTCTCCAAGTTCACAGTTGTAGATGTGGTCAGAGTAGGCTTTGGAGGGCGGAGCCTCTGGTCCCAGAGTTTCCCAGCGGGGAATGGGTTTTGCTTTAGGCATCAGACTGGACCCTTCTTTGGCCAGCAGCCACCCCCTTCAGAGAACCCCTCTGTGAATCAGCCCCTTACAGCTGTGGACCTCTCTAGAACAGGATAATGCAAAATCCACTGTGTCATTACTGCTCTTTAAAAATAATGTTAGCACCTCAAATAGGTGGTTTCTTTGAACCACCAATTTGTCCCAAGCCACATAGGGCAGTGGGGACATTTAGCTCCCTGAGCCATCAGGATGCACACGGGGGAGTCTTTTCAGAAGTGGTGGTGGGCAAGGCCTCTGAGTCAGGTGGCATTCAGGTAGGGGCAGGGACACCCTTCCCTTCCTACCAGACCCACCCGCCTCTCCCATTCCCCTCGCCCTCAGCGGCACCGACCCATGTCTCCCTCTCTGTCCGGTAGCTGACGACGGTGGCTGAAAAGTCACGGGTGCTGCAGCTGGAGGAGGAGCTGAGCCTGCGGCGCGGCGAGATCGAGGAGCTGCAGCAGTGCCTCCTGCACTTGGGCCCGCCACCAGCCGACCACCCCGAGGCCACCGAGACCCTGCGGCTGCGTGAGCGGCTGCTCTCAGCCAGCCAGGAGCACCAGCGGGAGAGCGGAGCATTGCGGGACAAGTACGAGAAGGCACTCAAGACCTACCAGGCAGAGGTGGAGAAGCTGCGAGCGGCCAATGAGAAGTACGCGCAGGAGGTGATGGACCTCAAGGACAAGGTCCAGCAGGCCACCAGCGAGAACATGGGGCTCATGGACAACTGGAAGTCCAAGCTGGACTCGCTGGCCTCCGACCACCAGAAGTCCCTGGAGGACCTCAAGGCCACGCTGAACTCGGGCCCGGGCGCCCAGCAGAAGGAGATTGGGGAGCTGAAGGCTGTGATGGAGGGTGTCAAGATGGAGCACCAGTTGGAGCTGGGCAACCTGCGGGCAAAGCACGACCTCGAGACGGCCATGCACGTGAAGGAGAAGGAGGGCCTGCGGCAGAAGCTGCAGGAGGCCCAGGAGGAGCTGGCTGGGCTCAGGCAACACTGGCGGGCCCAGCTGGAGCTGCAGGCTGGCCAGCACCGGCGGGAGCTGCAGGAGGCCCAGGACCAGCGCCGTGACGCCGAGCTGCGGGTGCACGAGCTGGAGAAGCTGGACGTGGAGTACCGTGGCCAGGCGCAGGCCATCGAGTTCCTCAAGGAGCAGATCTCTCTGGCTGAGAAGAAGATGCTGGACTATGAGGGGCTGCAGCGGTCAGAAGCCCAGAGCAGGCAGGAGGCAGAGCGGCTACGAGAGAAGCTCCTGGTCGCTGAAAACAGACTGCAGGCAGTGGAGGCCCTGTGCTCCTCTCAGCACGCTCATGTAGGCACCGCCCTCCGGCTGGGCTGTGCACTCCTGGGCAAGCGGGAGGGGCTGTGGGGGGTTTGGCATCTGTTGGCCTCTGTTTTCCAGCCCAGGGAGAATTCTCCTTGCCCCCAGGAGCATGCTTACGGGACACTGGGGCCCCTGGCTCAGGGGAGAAGCCCTCCTCCCCCCATCAGGAGGACGCTGGCCCAGGTGGGACTGGGGGACCCATGGTGGTCTGAGCTGACTTGGCTGGGTCCTCCCGGACCAGGCCTGGGGAGACTAGCTTCCTCTCAGTCCCCAAGCAGCCCCCTGATTGGCCCAGATGTAGTCTACTGTACTGTACTGGGCCCCCCAAGTCACCAGTCTCTCCCCTAGTACCCATGACCTCGGGCACTGGGCCGTGGGACTGGCACAGAAGTTGGGGGGCAAACCCTGTCCATCCTGGGCCCCAGGTGCCCATCTCCATCACACTCACTGACCCAGGGCATCTGAGAGCAGCCCCCTTTCTGTACTCCCGCTGAGACTTGGTTATAGCCAAACAGCCACCTTTCAGAGCTGGAGGGCTCCCCAGAGCTGAGATCTAGAAAGCTACAGGGGCAAAGAGGCCGCTGCCACCAATATTGCTTTTGCTGCAAATGTAGAAATCCCTCCTCCTTCAGCTGAGCCCACCCCTCCAGGAACTGTGGGAGCTGGGCTATTCCCAGCAGTGAGGGCAGGAAGGGCCTTCTGAGTGCCTCTGAGCACCATGTCCTGTGCCAGGCCCAGCATCGGCTGGACACATGTTACCCATTAGCCTTAACTCCCTTGAGGTGCAGAAGCCTCAACAAAATTTCTGAGGAGGGATATCTCCTGGTTATTGCCTTGATAAAAGGGGCCCCAGGGTTACTTGATTTCCAACTCCCCCAGGCACATTGAAACCATGTTTAGCGTTGAATAATGAGTTTTCAGGAGTCCTGAGTATAGGGTACTTTTTTATGGTTGTCTGTGCCATGCTTTGAGGTCCCCTGCTGCGGCCTCCCCACCCCTTGGGCCAGGTGGATGGTTTTTTAGCAGAGGAAGAAACCATGTTAGCTGAGGTCCACATGGGCCTGAGGGGCTGCTGGTGAGGAGAGAGGCCAGACCTGGGTTCCCTGAGTGGGGGAGGGTTTGTGCTGCTGTGTTTCTGCAGAGCCTGGGGGATGGGGGCCTAGGGACCCACCCCTCAGTTAGGCACTCGGGCCGGGAAGCAGGAAGCACATCACATCTCTTGATTATCCACACACACTGGGACTGCAGTCTGAGTCCACGTGCCTCCCAGATTCAGAGGTTTAGGACCAGGGACAGTTGGATTTTTGGTCTCGTGTAGTAAGTATGGGGATTTTTTTTTTAAGGATATGTCTAATTTAGAGCCTTGTTCTCACTGCTGTGTGTATAAATAAAGATCTAGGGAGTTTAGTTAATTGCAGCTTATTGAGACTAAAATGGAGCTTGGGATGCATAAATAGAAGTATGAGGCACAGGACGGTGGAGGTGACTGCCTGCTCGGCTCTGTGCTGCCTTAATCCCACAGTGTTAGACTCTGGCAAACTCTGCAGGCTCCGAGGATGACTAGCTTGGGCAGGAGGCCAGAAACTTCTGCCAAAAAACAGTGGGAAGCCTGTCGGTTGTCTTCTGGCTTTTCTTGTGGTGTTTGCCATGGCAATTAATACTTGTTACGTGGATGGGAAACCAAGGCTGGGAATCTCACCTCTGGGAGATAATGCCTTCCCGGACAAACCTCTGGAAGTATCCCAGGGAAAGATACCTGTTTAACACAATAAACTTTTCCAATGAATGAGCCGGTAGGCATTGTTCACACAGAAGCTGCACAAGCAGCCTTCAGGGAAGCTGGGAGCAGAGAGGTCCTCCATTGTCTGGGCTGGGGGTGACTTGCAGACCCCCTTTTGTAGGGGTATACACTATAGATGTGCTTCCCGGACTGGCCGAAACCCATCTCCAAGGGTTGGGGCAAAGGGGAGGCGAGCTTGCCCCTCACAGGGCCTCTTCTTTCAGATGATTGAGTCCAACGACATTTCAGAGGAGAAGATCAGAATGAAGGAGACAGTGGAGGGTGAGTGGGCACTGTTTGTTTGGCCCGTGTTTGGTTTTAACTTTATTTTTTAAAATAGGTAGAAACTTTAAATGGCTCAAAGGGTATATGGTGAAGGGTCCCCCCTCCTCAGGTTTCCCTCTTGGAAGGGGCAGTGTTACCCATCTTACATTCTCTTTGCAGAGATACTTTATGCACTTATGAGCGAGTAGGTAACAGAAATGGCACCATACCTCCCATACTGGTCTGCGCCTCACTTTTTCCCGTTTAATAGTAATATATCTTACAGATGGTTCTGTATCAGTACATTCTTGTATATGGCTACAGAATTTTCATCATGTACTTAGCCTCCTACTGATGGATAGTTAGGTTGTTCCTAGTCTTTGTCTATTACAAACACTGCTGCAGTAAGTTACCTTGTCCTCCATCAAGCAGAGGAAGGGCAGTGGTGGTCCCGTGGTAGAATTCTCACCTTCCGTGTGAGAGACCCGGGCTCAGTTCCTGGCCATTGCACCTCATGCACAACCACTGCCTGTTAGTGGAGGCTTGTGTGTTGCTGTGTTGCTGAACAGGTTTCAGTGAAGCTTCCAGACTAAGACAGACTAAGAAGAAAGGTCTGTTGGTCTACTTTCAAAAAATCAGCCAGTGAAAATCCTGTGGATCATAACGGTTCAATCCCATTGTGCATGGGATCACAGTGAGTCAGGGGCTGACTTCACAGCAGCTAACAATAACAACCATTGAGCTAAACCAGTTTTAACTCTCACCAGTGGTGACTGAAAATATGTTTCCCCACAAACCTTACGAACAAAGTGTTTCATCAAATACAGTCAGCTCTGCCAATCTGAAATGTAAAAGGTGTTACCTGATGTAGCTTCCGTTAGCCTTTCTCTTAACTCCGAAGTTTAGACATTTCTATTTTCTACTCACATCTTGTATCCATTTTTTTTCAATTGGGTTATTGATATTTTTGTTGATTTTTAGAAGCTCTTTATATATGACATTGCAAACATTTTTCCCCATTTGTGGTTTGTATTTTGACTTTTCTTATGGTGGGATTTGCCATGCAGATTTTTTTTTAATCAGTCTTTTCTTTTTTGGATTCTGTATTTATTATTTTTATTCTAATACTTTTTAAGTTTCGTTTTCTATATTTAAATCCCTGGCCCATCTAGAATTCATCTTCTACAAGGTGTGAGATAAGGATCCATTTTCATTTTTTCCCAAATGAGTACCCACTATCTCAATACCATTTTTGAAAAACTCATTCCCCTCCCCCACCGATTTGAAATACCAACCTTACCTTTAAATTCCCTGAAGTAATTCAGTGTATTTCTGAACTTTCTATTCTATTTCACTGATCTGTCTGTTCACCTGCCAATTCTATGATGTTTTAATTATTCAAGCTTCATTTACATTTTAATTACTGGCCAGACAGTATTTTCTCCTTTTCTTTTTAAAAATTCTCTTCAATATTTTTCTTTTTTATTATGATTTGTATTTTTTATGAACTTGATGTTGTCATCTTCTTCCTTTTTTTTTTTTTAATTGAAAAAGTAATGCCTACCCAGCATAAAACATTAGATCCACAGAGGTCTCCCGCATTGGCCCCAGACTCAGTTCTTCTTTGTAGAGACAAGTACTCAGAAGTTTTCTGTGAATCCTTCCACACATTTTTTGATGCTGTTGGCAATGAAATAGTGCAGGTGTTGGAGACATATGTAGGATTGAGTCACTGCACTGGATTAAAACCTGAATTCCAGTTTTATCCTGATATTCTACCCTAGGTAGCCTCTGCTCAACTGAATCCCGCACTGAAATTTGGTACTGCATTTAATCAAATCCAGTATTGAATAATTCTGAAATTTCTGCTCCAGTGATGGAAGATTACAGTTTTATTACAGCAAAAAGGATACAAATGACAGGATGCATAGGGCAAGGTCTGGGAGGGTTCCCAGTGCGGAGCTTCCATATTTCAAAAAGGGACATGCTGCCCTCCCACGTACATCCATGTCTGTCACCAGCCAGGAAGCTCTGTGGCTACTTTTGCTTATTTGTGTTTCCAGGTGATTTTAGAATCAGTTTATCTAGTTCCACAAAAAAGTCAAAATCTTTTTTGTATTTTTATTGGCATTGCATTAAATTTATAAATTAACTTACAGAGAATTAACACGTTTCTATGGTGAGTTTTCCTTCTAAGCATTTCCAGGCTTTACCTTTTTCATGACTGTTAGGAGGCTGCACAGTATTGTATTGACTGCACATGACTGGTGACATGGGCACCATTATTATTATCCCCACTTTTCACATGAGGAAACTAAGACTCTTTGAGAGTTCAGTTGCCCAAGACAACCTGGTATTGAGTCCTCCTTTTCAGGGTGGATTACCCAGAGAGACCACTGGTGTAAGCGTGGTCCGTTTTACGGTTCCTGAGGGAGGGCTGCAGCCTTGCCCACTGGCCTGCAGGGTTGGCCCAAGAGCATTGATGGCCCTTTGTCTCTCTCTCCCCTCAGGCCTGCAGGACAAGCTGAACAAGAGGGACAAAGAAGTGACAGCATTGACATCCCAGACCGAGATGCTCAGGGCCCAAGTAAGTGGTAAGTCTCCCTCCCGCAGGGGAGATGCAAGGGGCTTCTTGGGGGCCGTGCTGGGTGCAGCGTGCAGTGGAGTGTGGCACCCAGGCCTCCACCAGGGCAGCAGTGAGTGGGAGAGAAAGGCCACACACCATCCGTGATATAAGCTGGGGCCCCAGCGGTGTCCCTCCCCAGAGTCAGCTCTGTGCTCCGAAATCCCATGACAGTTTGGGATTGTGAACCATAGATTTCCCATCAGCCACTTTGATAACAGTATTTCTGCCCCCAAGCCCTGGAAGAAATACCAGGGTTTCAGAATTGAATTAAGGACACTGGATACAGCAGAGAGCCAGGCCGGGGAAACCAAGGCAGAGGGGACACCTAGGGAGAGTCTGAGGGCCTGGAATTTGGGATAAACTGACCCTGCTTCTCGTCCACCAGAATGAGATGAGAGGGCCCCCATCCTAGGAAGGGATTCCCACCCCTCTTCTACCAATTCCCATCACATTCATGTGGCATAATTGGTCCCAACGAAGTCCAGATGACCTCAGGCTCCTCCAAGGTCAAGGTGAAGATTTAGCCTTACCTCGTCAAGGCAACAGTGCCCATACCTCGCGACCCTCTCAGCAAGGGCAGACTGCTTCCCCCATCTAGAGAGCCCCAGGGGTTTGGATTTGCTTTTTGTAGCTGTTTTCTCGGGCCCCTTGCTGCCTGCCTCTTAAGGACAAGAGAATTTTACAGTGTTTTTAAAATTACTCAGCGGAGTGCATCACTGTCACCCCTGGGAAGAGCTGCTCCCTGGCACGGGCTTTGGCCCCTGGGTGGAGCAGATTCCCATACTCCCTCCTCCCCTGCCACCAACCTGCAGCACTGGAGGGCAAGTGCAAGTTGGGAGAGAAGAAGGTGGACAACCTCCTGAAGGAGAAGCGGCGCCTGGAGGCTGAACTGGAGGCCGTGTCCCGGAAGACCCACGACGCCTCCGGCCAGCTGGTGCTCATCAGCCAGGAGCTGCTCCGGAAGGAGCGGTGAGTCGCGGGGCCTGTGGGTCAGAACTTGCAGCCTCACCACCCAGCTGGGGGCCTCCTTCTGGCTGTGACCATTTCTCCACCTGTTAGCCTGTCTTCCCCAAAGGCGGGAGGGACCAGTAGGGAGCTGACTGACATCACCTGTGATCACCGTGCTCTCCTCAGTCTTCCCCAAAGGCAGAAGGGACCAGTAGGGAGCTGACTGACGTCACCTGTGATCACCGTGCTCTCC